AGAGCGGGCGGGGCGGCCGGGGGCCCGCAGACCGCGGGGTCCCCGAATCCCGGACCCCAACGGCCTGGGGCCCTCTGGAGCCAGCGGCCCCGCTCTTGGTTCGCCCGGAGCCGCCCCGGGGGAGCCGGACGAAGTGGACAAGTTTAAGGCTAAGTTCCTGACGGCCTGGAACAACGTCAAATATGGTGAGGAGGGGCTTCGAGGTCGCAGGTGGGGGCGCTCACGGAGACCCAGACCCTGTCGCCGTCGATGTGTGCACCATTTGTTCCCTCCTGGGTGTCACCCGTGGGTCCCCCGCCCTGCCTGGCCAGGGTGGACCTGTGACAGGTCGAACTGAGAATGTTTCGAGCCCCGCCCATTCCGCGGTGTGACCTTGGGCAAACTCCCTTGCATTGCAGGCACCTCCTTCCCCTCTCCTTTGTCAAATGGGTGCAATTATCCGAAGTTCCCTAATTCGCTGTTAACAGGGGCCTCACTTCTGTCTCAGAGTGATATTGCTCGGTTGTCCCAGAGTCACCCCCGAGACAGGAGCTAGGGTAGAGCCCAGTTCCCAGAGGGGAAAAGGACGCTCTGCTCTGTCCGACACGTGTTTGAGCCCCCTGGGCGCTGCCCGGCGTCTGTATCTCCCTAGGTTGGGCCGTCAAAAGCAGGACCAGCTTTAGCAAAATTTCCAGCATCCACCTCTGCGGCCGCCGCTACCGATTCGAGGGCGAGGGTGAGCAGGTGTCAGGGATCAGGGTTGGGGGACCCCACTCTCCAGGGGTGTGACTGGAGGAGCTGACACACTGGCTCTTATAGGTGACATCCAGCGTTTCCAGCGAGACTTTGTGTCCCGTCTATGGCTCACCTACCGCCGGGACTTCCCGCCCCTAGCTGGGGGCTGCCTGACCTCCGACTGTGGCTGGGGCTGCATGTTACGCAGCGGCCAGATGATGCTAGCTCAGGGCCTGCTGCTCCATTTCCTGCCCCGAGGTGAGTGGCCTGGACCAAGGGATGCCCCTGGACTACAGCAACAACCATAGGCACCAGTTGTTAGAATTGCTTGCAAATTGAGGGCCAGCAAGTGGCGAGATGGTTAAGGTATTGGATTTCTCTATGGCCGATTGTGGTTCGAGTCCTAGACCTGGCAGCTTGCTTTCTCACTTTCTCTCTCTCTCTCTCCCTGTCTGGTGAGCACACGTGTCCTATATAAAATTTTAAAAAACAATAATACGATTGGGACCAGCAGTCAGCTGGACTTCCATTTAGTAAACTACAGTTCGAGTCCCAGACCCGGTGGCTTAAACTCACACCAGGCGCGTGTGGGTGCATGCCTAAGACCCAGAGAGGAGAATGGAGAAGGGATTGCAGCGTGGCCATCCCCCCTGGGGGGTGATTTCTTGCTTTCTATCTCTTTGTCTCTCTGTGTTTCTGGCAAGTGCACATGCCCTATAGCAAAAACCTCTCTAAAAAACCCAGAACTGCATGTCAGGCTTGCATCAGTGGGAACTGCCCCTTCCCACTCGCACTGATGAACTAACTCTGAACTGCATCCCCGCCAGACTGGACGTGGGCCGAGGGCATGGGCCTGGGCCCTCCTGAGCTGTCCAGGTCAGCCTCACCCAGCCGGTACCATGGGCCTGCCCACTGGAGGCCCCCACGCTGGGCCCAGGGTACCCCCGAGCTGGAACAGGAACGCCGGCACCGACAGATTGTGTCCTGGTTCGCTGACCACCCCCGGGCCCCCTTCGGCCTACACCGGCTGGTGGAGCTTGGGCAGAGCTCGGGCAAGAAGGCGGGTGACTGGTATGGGCCGTCACTGGTGGCACACATCCTCAGGTGAGGGCCGCTGCAGGGAGCGTGGGCGCCGCGCGGTACCCCCAGGGACTCAGGCCTTGCCTCCCTCCCAGGAAAGCCGTGGAGAGTTGCTCAGAGGTGACCCGCCTGGTGGTGTATGTCTCTCAGGATTGCACAGGTAAGGCGCTGTGGCCGAGGCACGGGGTCTCACCCTGAGCCGGGCACAGTCTCAGCTGCTGTGTGAGACCCATCTTCCTGGGAGGCTGAAGCAAGTTCTGGGCAGAGGGGCATTGGGAGGGGATTCGAGGGGCACGTGGTGGGAGCCGCGTGGGGTCCGACCCGTCTGCCTATCCCTCCAGACCCAGGAGAGGAAACCGCAGGGAGTTCTCCTGCGTGATAGACGACTCACTCATCCGCTGTAGTTTTTCTTTTTTGTCCTTTGCCAGAGGGTGAGTGTGCACGCATGAGAGAGAAAAAGAGTAAGCACCTTACAGTAGGGCTGTGTTCCTCCTTTTCTCCACCCCGTCAGGATCCGGGGCATACGTGCTTGGGCTCGGCGTGTTTTTCATGCCGCTGGGGCTGGGATTTGAACCACAGCCGGCCCTGTAGGACCCAGCTCCCTCTGGACAGTGCTTACCCACTGTGCCATAGGGGCTGGACCTCTTTTTCTTTTCTTTTTTTCATAAAATTGTTTATTTCAGGTCAGTCCTCTAGGCTGGTAGTTAAGATAGTTGAATCCTGCAGCCGGCAGGTGGCGTGGTCGTGGTCGTGGTCGTTAAGGGCGCTGGACTCCCACGTGGCCGACTGTGGTTTGAGAACCGGATCTGGTGGCTTGCTTTCTCACTTTCTCTATCTCTCCCTCTCTCTCGCTCTGTCCCTCTCTGGTCAAATGTAAATAAGTAAAGTTAAATAAAAATCATTCTTACAAAAAAGAAAGAAAGCTGAATCCGATATGGCTGACTAGTTGGGAGTCTGGCCCTGGCAGCTTGAAAAGCCCACCAGGCTCCAAATCCTGACAGGAGAGGAGAATGGAGAAGGGACTGCAGTGTGACCGTGCCCCACTCGGGGGGTGCTATCTCTTTCTCCCTCTCTTTCTTTCTGTCTCTGGAGAGCATGTGTGCCCTCTGGCAATTTTAAAAAAGAGAAGACCCAGCGAGACCCTTCGAGCTGTGATTGTCACATAGTAAGTGTTCACTAAGTATTAGCTGTTGTTATTTCCACTAGGAATAATTCCTGATTCTCCCAATCAGTTGAGAAAAGTTGTCTCTCTCTCTCTTTTTTAGAGAGATCTTTGCTATAGGGTGCATACGCTCGTTGGAGAGACAGACAGAAAGCGAGAAATCACCCCCAGGGGGGATGGCCACTCCGCAATCCCTTCTCCTCCATTCTCCTCTCTGGATCTTAGGCACACACGCACATGCTCCTGGTGTGAATTTAAGCCACTGGGTCCGGGACTCGAACCGCGGTCGACTGTGTGGGAGTCTAGCGATGTAACCATTACTCCATCTGCTGGTCCCAAGTTTATTTCTTTCTTTAAGTAAGAAAAAAAGATGGGGCGGGGTACCCCAGCAGGGTCCTTACACTGCCACTCACCCCTAGTCTCATTCGAACTGGGTCACAGACCATGTAAGCCTGGCATACTCGGGGGCTCGAGGGATGTGAACCCAGTACCTTTCCCATGTGGTTCCAGCTCTATTACCCCCCCACACTCCTGCCTGGCCCTGTAGAAACAATCTTCATTTATGGGAGTCCGCATGAATGACTATCATTTGTGCATTTGTTTTGCAAAATTGTGTTTGGGACAAGGTTCGATTTCAGAGCTCCGTGTCGCCAAAGAGGTTGCACCTGCTTCTCTGGGAGCCCGGGAACGGGCTTGGGTAGCAGCTGAGGAGGAGGCAGGGGAAGGGGGTGGGCAGACAGGGGACACGGGCAGGGGCACACACGGGAGGTTTGGTTTACGGGCAGAGTACTTGGGGCTCCTGGTAAACTGAGGCTCAAGGCACTGAGGACCATCAGACCTGGGACGGGGAGGAGCCTCCAGCTTCAGAGAAGGCCTTTGCTGACAGCGTTAGCTGCCAAGAGGTGGGCCGGGCAAGGTGGGGCCCCTGGGGTGAGCAGGCCACTCTGGGGCTCGAAGGATGGGCAAGGGTGACCCGCTGCTCCCCTGTCCCCCCAGTGTACAAGGCAGACGTGGTGCGCCTGGTAGCCAGGCCAGACCCCGCCGCCGAGTGGAAGTCTGTGGTCATCCTGGTACCCGTGCGACTGGGCGGCGAGACCCTCAACCCTGTGTATGTGCCCTGCGTGAAGGTAGGTTCAGTCAGATTCCGGGGTGCCTCCACCTGGGAGCCCTCCAGATTGTCCACTTGGATTAGGGCTGCTGTTTATGCTTCCTTCACCCTTTCTTTCTTTCTTTTTTTTCCTTGCTTTCTTTTGAAACTTTAGTTGTTAGAAACTGTGTGCTGGACAGAGAGCAACAGAGGCAGAGGGAGAATGAGGCGTAGTCACGCTACAGTCCCTTCTCTGTCCCCTCTTTAGAGACTTTTAGGTACATGCATGTGTGTACACAGACACACACATACACACACATGCACCTGGTGTGTTTTTTAAGCATCCAGGGCCAGGATTTGAACTGCAGTTGGCTACTTGGTATCCTATCCCCCTTAACCACCAAGCTACAAACTTTCTTTCCTTTTCCTTTTTCTTTCTTTCTTTCTTTGGAATTATTTATTTATTTAATTCCATTTGTTATTATTTTTTAATTTAACCAGAGACAAGAGAGAAAAAGGGAAAGCAAGAAAGCAGGCCGCCAGGTCCAGGACTCAAACTGTGGTCAGCCATGTGGGAATCCAGCGCCTTTATCCACCACGCCACCTGCCGGCCCCCTCCTTTTTCTTTTTTGCCAGAGGTTGCATGCACTCACGGGAGAGGGACAGAGAGAGAGGGAGAGAGAGAGAGGGAGAGAGAAAGCATCCCCAGGGTGAACGCAATCCAGGACTCCAACTGCAGTTGGCCATATGGGAGTCCAGCGTCTTAACCACCATGCCACCTGCTGGCCCCCTTTATTTTTATTTCTAAAGTTTATAGAGAGGGGTATGTAGTAGGTTCCTTACAGCCTGGTCCAGCCCTCCCTGTCTTAGCCAGCCAGGACCATGGCCACACAGGTGCCCGGCTTGCACAGAGGAGTCCTAAGGCTTGAACCCAGGACCTTTCCCATATAGGTCCAGTAACAACACCACTGTACCACTGCCTGGATCCCTTGTTTTTTTCTTTTTAATAATTATTTTATTTTATTTTATTTATTCATTCTTTTTTTTTTTTTTTAATTTGGCCAGAGAGAGACAGACGTTGAGAGTGAGAGAGGAAGCAAGAAAGCAAGCCACCAGATTCAGGACTCGAACCCTGGTCAGCCATGTGGGAGTGTCCAGCGCCTTAACCACCTCGCCACCTGCTGGTCCCATGGATCCCTTGTTTTTAATTTAATAGTTACGGGGGCCAGCAAGTGCCACAGCAAAGGCACTGGACTCCCACAGGGCCGACTGCAGTTCAAGCCCCAGACCCAGCAGCTTGAAAATCACACCAGGCGCGTGTGCGTGCATGCCCAGATCCCAAGAGGACAATGGAGGAGAAGGGATTGTGATGTGGCCATTCCTCCTGGGGGTGGCTTCTCACTTCCCTTTCTCTCTCTGTGGCAAGCACACACACCCTATGGCCAAAACCTAAAAAGAAAGATGGCGCGTCTACTCTGTGCCACCCATTATCCCACTTGCTGGAGTTTCCACGGCGAACAGAACACACAGTAATTTTGAATGTGCCCCCTGGAAGCAGGTGTTTTTGTTTTGTTTTGTTTTTGAGAGATTTTTGCTATAGGGCATATGCACTCGCCAGAAAGACAGAGAGAGACAGAAAGCGAGATATCACTTCCCAGGGGGGATGGCCACACCGCAATCCCTTCTCCTCCATTCTCCTCTCGGGATCTTGGGCACGCATGCGCATGCACCCGGAGTGAGTTTAAGCCGCGGGGTCCGGGACTTGAACCACGGTCGACTACATGGGAGTCCAGTGACATAGCCAGTATGCCAACTGCTGGTCCCAGGAAGTAGGTGTTCTGATTGGACAGTGGCAGGTGGTGGATCTGTAACCAAACTGCATTACAACCTTTATCGCAAAGTGAAAGCGTCAGCTCCGCGAAGGGCAGGTCGGTGTGGCTACAGGGCCCAGGAAAGCCCCTCTTTCACCTGGAGGGAAGTGAGGGACCAGAGATGTATTCCAGGCAGAAGGCACAGCACCCCGAAGGCCCCGAGGCTGGGAAGACACACAGGAGTTTCCACTAAGAATAAAAGCCAGAATTTTGCCTGTGGCCCCACGGCCCTGAATCATCTGTTCTTGACACGCCTGGACCTCATCTCCCCCAACTTTCCTTGCTCTCACAGTTCACCTGGAGGGAAGTGAGGGACCAGAGATGTATTCCAGGCAGAAGGCACAGCACCCCGAAGGCCCCGAGGCTGGGAAGACACACAGGAGTTTCCACTAAGAATAAAAGCCAGAATTTTGCCTGTGGCCCCACGGCCCTGAATCATCTGTTCTTGACACGCCTGGACCTCATCTCCCCCAACTTTCCTTGCTCTCACAGCTCCAGCCGCAGAGAGAGAGAGAGAGAGAGACAGGCAGCCAGATAGAAAGTGAGCAATCACATCTTAGAAGAAATGACCATGCTTCAATTCCATCTTCTCTATTCTTCTCTAGAGATATTGGACATAAATGCACATGCACCCAGCTTGAGGTTTAAGACACTGGGTCAAGTGGGACCAGCAGATGGAGGAATGGCTATGTTACTGGATGTTACTGGATTCCTCTGTAGTTGATTGCAGTTTGAGTCCTGGACCCAGTGGCTTAAACTCATGCCAGTCGCATGTGCATGTATACCCAAGATCCTGAGAGGAGAAAGAAGAAGACATTGTGGCTCTACTTCTAAAGTTAGTTGGGAAACCATAAAGTCCAAGACCTGGCGGCTTGCTTTCCGCTTTCCCTCTTTGGTGAATGCACATGCCCTTTAGGAAATGTAAGCAAAAACTAATAATATGGGCACAGCAGGTGGCATGGCGGTTAGGGTGCTGGACTCCCACGTGGCGAACCACAGTCAAGTCCATAGCCTGTTGGCTTACTGTCTCACCTTCTCTCTCTCTCTGTCTCTCTCTGAGGAGTTCATGTGCCTTACAATATATGGCTGGACTCCCACCTGGCCAAGCACAGTTCAAGGCCCAGGCCTGGCGGCTTGCTTTCTCACTTTGCCTCTCTCTCTTTGTGTCTCTGGTGAGTGCACCTGCCCTATAGCAAATTTTAAAATAATAATAAATAACTTAAAAAATAATAAATTCTTTTTTTCTTTTTTCTTTCTCTTTTTTTTATTTTTTGTTTATTCTTAAAAATAATAAATTCTTAAAAGAAATTTCTAAGCTCCATTCCCCCTTCAATTCATTTCCATAATTCTATCACCTTCTGACACGTGAGTAGCCATCACGTGTAAACGTTTGTTGAGTGACTGTCTGACAGCACCTCCCCGGGCTCTGGCCCTCTCCTCCCTGCAGGAGCTCCTGAGGTCAGAGCTGTGCCTGGGCATCATGGGGGGCAAGCCGCGACACTCGCTGTACTTCAT